CGAACCTCTTAGGAAGGCCCTCTGGAAAAACTATCAAAGGTACAGAGTGCGTAGTACAATTTAATTCAGGTTTATAAGCCTGGATAACAAGCGACTCTTTTAGTAACAGACAATAAGGATTTCGGTCGTTTTAATTTAATTATATGTATTTCAATAAAATGGAAACTACTGCTGTTACTTTATTATGCGTACTAAAATTTTTGCCCATTCATAAAGAAAATGTGTAAAAAAAAAAAAAAAAAAAAATGATGTAATTCCGTCATGGAGCCATTCCACTTGTTTCTTCTCATTTAAGCATTTTTAAGTGAAAGTAAATAGATGATTCGAAATTGAATTATAACAATATTTACCTTGTTCAACATATTGTACATTCGAATCAATAGCTAAACGAATAGAATTTGAACGCTTCAATAATTAAATTAAAAAATTTATATTATTTTCTTTACTTAGTGCTGTCAGGGTTTTTATTCTATTCAGGAACGTTTGATTAAAATCAGATGATGATGGTTGTAAAATATTAAATGTTGACATAAATTGTGCTGATTTTAATTCGATTTGTCGAATATTTAGAGTACATAACACCGATGATTTATCAACTAAATAAGTATCAGCATTTTCACGATCTAATGTTGACATAATTACACACATGCGACAATCTTGAATATTAATTAATTTTAAATTATAAGGATTTAATGGAGAACCCTATAAGAGACAAAAAAAAGTAACTATAGTTTAGACACAGATTTTTGCATGTTGAAATGTATAGAAGAAAAAGTGCTCAAAGTACAGTTATTGATGAAGAAATGTTAAAAAATATTTACATTTAAGATATAAATATCTGGAAATGTTGCTAGAGTATTCCATTCATTTTCAATATATTTAAGATTAGTAACAAATATAATTGTTGGTAATTCGGATCGTTTAAAACTACTTGCACGTAATGGCATAACAAAATTACGTAAACCAATTGAAGGTGATGTTGAATCGGCATGTAAACATACAACAACATGATCATGAAAATTAATTGGATGAGTTGGTAATAATCGAGCAAATGTAGTTTTTGTTTCGTCAGTATTATTATTATTATTATTCTTTGATGTTGATGATAATGGAGCTCTTAAAAATGTACCTTGTCGACGAAATGCCAAACGTCGTTCACGTAATGTTTCTGTATTCTAATAAAAACAAAAGAAGTTATTGTAATTAGTAGAAAAGAAAAAAGAAAATCTATAGTTAAAATACGTACTAATACAACATCTTCAATTCGACGTGGTGAACAATAATAAAACATTCCAGTTGAATCAAAATTGTGCATATTTTCATCACCGGATCTAATAACGTATAAATTTTAAAATAAAACTACAGAATAAATCAAAAAAGTCTCTAAAAACATGAATGTTTTCTCTAGCATATATTTTATCATCATTCTTCTTTGAATCGTGAGGATAAAATGTGACGAAGGATATGGGATGCATATTGAATTGATAACTAGTTTGTCCATTTCAAAGCAGAAGAGGACAAAAGCAGGTATTGTGTTCAAATAAAAGCCACTTACACTAAAATAACATGATAATTTTATAATACATAAGTCATGCGTGTAGTTTCAAAAAATGATATAAATAATTAAAGCGAATATTAAGCTAGAAAAAAACAAAGGCACACATTCACACATGCAATACTATGTTCAGTATACTACACATACAATTCGTTACTGCTATTTCTACTATTTCCTTTTTCATTCTCTGATTGTTGTTGATTTAATAGTGGACGATGTGTATCATCCTCTACTAAATGCCTAAAAAATAATAAAATATTATTTGATTAGAAAAATTGAATAATTATTATTCAACAAATATATTTACATTAAAGCTTGTTTCAAATTTGAATCATGTGGTTGATGAGAAGAGAATGCTTTATCATCACGAACATTATCTATTTCACTTGCTAAATATAAATTTCTTAATTGATAGAATATTAGAAAGGATTTTTGTATCGTTTATTATGATCATATCCACTATTCAAGTGAATCTTACCATGAACACATTTTTTCATGCGTCTAAGTTGTGATTCAGTTAAATGATCAAGTTCTGAATAACATATTGAACAATAATATTTTACTCTATAAAACAAAAACAAAATTATCAAGATGATGTCTAATTTGATTTAGTAAAGAGATTATACCGTTTAGCATCTTCACTTGAACTACAAACCATAAATGCTCTCGTTCCACATAGAATAATACAATCATCTTGTGGTGCTACTTCAACTACAGTTCGATGTACACCATTTTCAGCATCAAACTGTTTCATTTCAACTGCTAATAACATTACACGTAATTTGAAACATATTCTAATAGTATAAAAACAACAACAATAACAATAGAAGTTCAAGTTTAAAAAAGAGAAAGTGTATAATGTTATACTATTGACTTACAGTGCAGCTTCTGTAAATGTTTTGCCATAGAATGAACGTGGTAATTCTTCAAGATACATTTCCATTGCGGCACCACGATGATACAATTCTCGCCATGGCCATATTTGAATCTAAAATAATTCAAATAAATATTAAAGATAATTATATTATAAAAATGAAAATAAACTGAATTAAACATATAATCATAGAAGAAGCAACTATAAGCAAAATTGTTTACAAATTTTTAATTTTAAAATAATGACACTTTAGCAAAATAAATTATTTTAAAAAAATGATAATTAATTGTGACAAAAAAAGCTTAAAGAAATGTGTTACTACATTTCTTGTGACATTATAAAAGATTTTTTAGATTAATATAGTGATAACATCATCATGTTGAAGCATCGTGTTGAAGAGCTTTAGCAACTTAAAGACAAGTGTATTCAGGATATGATCACCATTCGAGTCATGTTAGAATGTTGCCTATTCGACTAATACTATCATCCTTCGGTGATTCTACATATCCGTTTTTGTTTTTTTAGGTATTTCTTGTAAGAATGTGAGTGGTGCTACGTATTAATTAACACTAGAACGCCTGTAGCGGTCATTTTGACCGTTTTTTGATTTGTATCCTTAATAAAACAAACTGCATACAATTTATTTAAAAATAAATTATGTCATAACTTTTAATTTGTTCCACAAAATTATTTTTTGTAGAATTTTTAATTCATTTTTTCATTTAGAACCATTTTTAATTATAAAATTTAAAAAAACAACAACAGTAACGATCAAAATGACCGCTTTGGGCGTTCTAGGTCATGAAAATTTCTAGGCATTCTAGTGTTAAACAATAAATCAAAAGAATGTATAAAAGCGCATATAGATTGACAATTGACACAAAAAAAAGCCTGTAAATCCCAAAGCTATTATTGTTATTATTATTTTATGTGGACAATAGCGTCAGCATAGAAATAACTTACTGTATTGTTATGAAAATATTTACAACAACAAGATAGCTAGAAATATTAGGGTAGGAATACTACTTTCTCAACATTTTTATAAATATAAATACGATAGATACGTACTTGTTCTTGCGATGGTTTCGTTTTATAAGCTGACATTCGAAAGATATTTGTCATCTACATATAGAACAATATTCATTAGAAATAAAAACAGGTTAACATTACTCGTACCATTGTTGAAAAACCGGGTACAATACAAGATTGTCCAATTAGACCTAGTTTTAGTTCAGCTACGCAGATAATTTCATCACCATCTTTTGCAGACCAACCAGGTATTGACGCAACATTCATCTAAAACAAAAATATCTCTTTATTTACTGATACTGATACTCATCATACAATAAAATATGCATATGTTAAATTAAAAGTATTTTTATCGATATCAAATGATTAGATTTGTGTGTCAACCGAAAGAAAATGGAATGATTTATTGCCATAAAAAAAGTTCTTTCTGTCGTTTCACATTGTATCTCATCGCTCGAATCAATCACAAGTGCTTCTCTATTCGGTCGTAAAGATTTTGGACAATCAGATGATTAATATTTTTAACAGCTGTAGATGACACATCATTGACTGAGACGTTTTATTGCTGATTTTGAAGTGATAATAGAACTAAAGAGCCGTTGGTTTAACATTTTAGTTATGTTGAATATACTGAACATTTCAAACCATCTGTACCTTTCAATTTCTTAGCTTACACTAATATATCATTCTCGTTCCGATCAGCGTCAGAATTGTCTACATGACATGTAGTGATGATGGTTTTTCCGTTTATCTTTGATTTTCTTCACTACCGACTATTTTACGTTTAATATTGACCCTCTATTTTTATTTACGTAAAATCGAGTTTATTGAATTCATGAATTTTTTTCTCTCATGTTTGATAACATGCCGAATTAGTCTACTCAACAAGATCAGATTTAATCTTTCATGTTAGTAGTCTATTTAGTGAACGGTAGTCTAATTTTGAAAAGATGTGACATTGATTTCTGTTTTTAGACAAATTTAATATCGGTTGATCATAGAGCAAGTAAAGAAGTTTAAAAATAAAAAATTATTGTTCTTGACGAGTTCGCGCACAAGAGTAATTTTTAGCGTATTTCTAATTTTTCTATTCAACTGTCAAGAGAGAGATAATCCGTAAACTAAAATCTCGTTAGTGCTTACTTTATTACTATATTGAAGAAGTTGTAATAATACTTTAATTCTTTGATTAAAATTTTTTAAACTAATTACTCTCATTATATTTGCCGAATCTTCACCATCGGGATCAGCACACTCTTTATCAGCAATAATTAAACATGCTGTTGCTTTATCAACCTCAATAATAAACATTATTATTTAATTTAATCAATTTTTTAAATGTAAACAATTTACTTGTACACGTTGTAAATCTGTTATATTCATTACAGTTCCAACAAAATATTTTACTTTTGCATAATAACGTTTTAATAAGGCTTCCATTTCAATTTCAGGTATTTTTCTATAAATAATGATAAAAAATAGTATTAATTGATATTTATAGTATAATAAAATTACTTATTAATAATAACCACATCTAATTCATCAACTTGTTCACGATCCTTATGTAAAAAATCTTTGAGAAATGTTGTCATTGAATGTGCAGTAACATGTCCACATAAAATCACATGTCTATATTAAGAGATAAGAAACACATACTTAATCGACATAAGATATGATTAAATGGCACTGTCTATCGATTCATTTTCGATTAGAAAACTTTGATAAAGTAAATTTTACAGTAAATAATTATTTAACACAATTCACTCCCCGTAAGCTAGAATAAATCTTGTACAAACCACGATCTCTACGATGCTAACGATAATTCAAAATACTGGAAAAGTTTAACAATTTTTAGAAACTAAACGTATTATACAAAATTTATGAATAATTTCGTACCTTTTGCCTTTAACCGTTCTATAACGTCCGGAATATTGTCCATTTGAGCCAAATAAATTTGAAAACTCTGGAATCATTGTCGCAAAAAATGCCTGTAAAATAGAAGATAGACAGAAGTCTATGTAGATTTTTTATTATTTGAAAACTAACTTACCAAACCTCCAATCAAAAATAAAAGCATAAATAATTTGCCAATGTATGTTTTACAAAATATGTCTCCATAGCCAACCTAGAAATAAAAAGGTATTCACTTATAAACTTAATTAATTTCATTATTTTAATAAAATAATTACCGTTGTCATTGTGACAATCATAAAATAAATTGCATTAAATACATCCAATTCATGAGCGTTACGAAAACCACAAAAGAAATCACCACTATTTTCCGCCTAGAATATATACATCAAAAAAAGAATCTTAAATAAAACGATAAAACTAAATATAAATCGTACTAGATGAACAGCTCCTGCAGCCGCAAACCAAACAGCAATAAATTTTGATGCTAATTGAACAATTCGTATTGATCTTGGACGTTCGATAACACCCATATACTGTAATATATCAGGTATGTTCATTATACGAATAGCACGTAAGAAACGAAAACCTCAAATAAATAGATAAACTCGAATTTAGTGAGAATTTTAATAGTATTATATCTAAATTACCAATCCAATTTCGATTAAGATATAGAGCAACAAATGACGGTGGGATTGTAAATATATCAACAACAGAATATAAACTAAACCAAAATCGACGTTTATGTTGAGATGCAGTAAACTAAAATGATAAAAAAGAAAATCGAAAATGAAAATATCTATCTATCAATCATCAATGATCATATACACACACACACAAGACAAAATAAAAACAAGCTGTTTGATTGAATATTAGCTTTACTATTTCTTCTTCGTCTTCAACCCAATAAATTATTGAGTCAGGGTAGCATGAACTTAAAAATTCATACATAGAAACATTTGTTTTCCTGCTCTTCAATAGCCAGATGGACATGTTTTTTATGAAATGATCTTTTTCTTTTTGACTCAAATATGACTCTCTATTCCTGGAGATAGTATTCTTGCAAGAAAAAAACTTAACGTCAAAACTTTTAGGGCTTGATTAAAAATATCCTCAAGATAAAGGTTTTTGACAAGAAAAATATCTAAAAAAGTTACATTTAATGTATATCATGTTTGAGAACTGCATCATTCGATGTAACGTTTCCAAATATCATCTTATTTTTATTATGAGAATTTTGGATTAAGAAAAAAATAAATTTTACTTTAAAAATCAGAGTTTTTAGTCCAAAACTAAACTTGTGTTAATATTATAAGTGTATTGTACATAGAAGAATATTTTGCTAAAATTTGAGCAAAATTGAAAGTGAACGCATTCATTACAAAAAAATACTCTTATTTCTCCACAACATTAACTCCAAAACAAAACATTTTTTTGTCTCTAAGTTAAATTCATATTTCTATATTATTGTCATTTACTATCTTGTTGAATAGAGTAGAAGAACATGTTGGAACATATTATACTGCGTTATCAGGCTACATTTTGACTAAGTGTTTTCCCATGATCTTTGACACTTACAACCAAAACTTTTATACTCATGAATTGAAAACTATCGATCGACGTTTGAGTGATCGATATTTTACGAAAAAAAAATAAAAGTCAATGTGATGAAATTTAGTTTAACAAGATGGTATAATTACGAGAAAATCTCTGATATACAAAGTTATTTGACTAACTACAGTGATAGGTGAAGCAAGCGAATGAATTCAAACAAGCTGAACATTATAGTAGAATGTATATTTCTAGAGGATCACTCGTAAAAAATAGAAGAACGTGATAGAATATTTATACTTACTCGAAGAAAAAAATAGATAAGAAAGAGGAAATTTAAACCAAGATCCATTTGCATTGTTAGTGATTTATGAAAATCTGTACAAGATTCGATGTATCTAAATAGATAAAACTATTAAACCTACTATTGAAATATTACAATACAAATAACTTACGCATTTTTTGTGTCAACGAAATATAATATCAATGATGCAATACTACATATAAATATAACACCAACCTGTAATAACAAGGTCAAAACAATACTTCTATTTACTATTTATCTTCAATTTAACGGATGGCCCAGAATAAACGGGCCACTTTTGTTCCTTGTTTTTGAGGTACTTCCCAGCGATTCAAAGAGTTGGTTCTAGGCTCATTCGATAGAGAATAGAATTCTCTATAAATCTGCTATTTAAATCTCTGATAGCATTTTTCTCGTTTGAGCACCATTCAAAATATTGAATGGTGCTGAGTTGTCGAACTGCGACAGACTGAAAATAGAAAAATATTTGACTTGATCCAAAAATAGATTTCAGAAAGAATTTTGAAAATATCAGAAGACTCACCGGAAAATTCTGCATCTTCTCATATATTTTTCACAAACTTTAGTTTTCTAACTATAAAAGTAGTAAAACGTTCTGAATTCAAGTTTAAGTCTTATTATCTTACACAGAATTAAATTCTACATCTTTTGATATATAAACAAAGTTTCTCAATTGGAACTACTAATTAACAGACTTAATTTAATTTAAAAACTTGAAAAGCCAGTTGAGAACTAATTATGAATTCAGCTGACCTAGCGGAAACATTGTACGAAGTTGTGAATGAGTGAGATCGATAGAGCATAAAATTTTCTAACTTTGTACGTAGAAAAATTAACTGTTGAACCTCAGAACTATCAAAAAAAAGGAGACGACGGAAGCACTTTAAATAGTAGGTTTGTAGAGAATTCCATTCTCTATCGAATGAGCTTAAAACCAACTCTTTGGACCACTGGGAAGTACCTCAAAAACGAGAAACAAAAGTGGCCCGTTTATTCTGGGTCACCCGTTATATTAGGTTGAGGAAAAAGTTCGTGCGCCGTGTTAAAATAATGATTTTTTATATATTTTTTTTTGTGTTTTTGATCTGGTTTTGTGGCTATTATGAAAATTTATTGATTTTTTAAGATGTCTGATTA